TAAGGGTGGAAAGCAAGGATAAATGGTTTTTTTTTCAGAGCGTTGCAATTTCGAATGGACACTAAATGAGCAGCTATAAGTCAAGGACTGCCTGTATAAACTTAGTTATCACCAGGCATTGCCAGGGAGACTCCAAATGTGAATAAATGCATATTTTGTTTATCCGATCTTATTTTAAAGTTTTCAAAGTGATTTTATGCTTTTGAAACTTGAATTGGGAGCTGCCCAGAATTGGCCGAATCGATGCTTTAAATGAGTAAAAGACCTCTCCTCTTTGCCGAAGGGACCCGGCAGGACGGCCCAGCAGTTCAAGCCGCCAGCCCGGGTTCGAGACCCGAGCTCTGTGCAATGGTTGAGCTCCCATCCTCCCCTCAGCCTCCTGCCCACCCAGCAGTTCGAAAGCATGCCGGTGCGAGTAGATAAACAGGCACCACTTTGGTGGGAAGGGAAGAGCGTTCCGTGTGCCTCGGTGTTTAGCCATGTTGGCCATTTCACCACAGAAAATTGTCTTCGGACAACGCTGGCTCCCTCAGCGAAGAAACAGAGAGGAGCATCGTCCCCCTCGAGCCGGACACGGCCGGACAGGGCAAAGCTTCACCTTAGCCCCCCCACCGCTCACCTGTGGCCCCCCGTCCCTTCCTTCCAGGTACACGGCTGCCTGCTCCCGCCTGCTGGTCCAGTACAAGGCCGCCTTCAAACAGGTGCAGGGACTGGAGATCAACTCCATCGACGACTTTTGCCGCAGGTTCCGGGTAAGAGGGGAGAATTGGGGGGCTGTTGCTCCATCTGGTGGCAGAGGAAGTGGGAGGGGGCATTCGGAGGCCTTTTTGAAGGGGGGGGAGACTTCTATAAGAAGCAGCCTCTTGCCCCTCCCAGCTGGACTGCCCGCTGGCCATGGAGAGGATCAAGGAGGACCGGCCCATCACCATCAAGGACGACAAGGGCAACCTCAACCGGTGCATCGCGGACATCGTGTCGGTAGGTCTGGGGGCTGGGAGGGGGAAATGACCCACCTGGGAGGCACTTTCCACAGGGCCCCCCTCTGGCCGCCTATCTGACCAGCCTTTCTCTCTCTCTCTCTCTCCCAGCTCTTTATCACCGTGATGGACAAGCTGCGCTTGGAGATCCGGGCCATGGATGAGGTGACCAAAGGGGGAGGGGCTCTGGGTCACACGGGGGGGGGGGAGGGCACAGTGGACCAGGGACCGGACCTCTGAACCAACTGCGGCTGACTTGAGCTGAAGCCACTTTCAGGGATAGGATGGCTGGCAGAGCGTTACCCTGTGTACATGTTCAAGGAAGGTCCCAATCCAGTAACTTCCTCCCTCCCTCCTTCCTTCTTCCCATCCCTCCCTCCAATATCCATCTTCCTTCCTTCTTTCCTTCCTTCTTCTCCTCCTTCCCTCTTCCCATCCCTCCCTCCAATATACATCTTCCTTCTTCCCTTCCTCTCCTCCCTCCCTCTCTTCCTCTTCCCATCCCTCCCTCCAATATCCATCTTCCTTCCTTCTTTCCTTCCTCTCCTCCCTCCTTCCCTCTTCCCTCCCTCCAATATCCATCTTCCTTCCTTCTTCTCCTCCCTCCCTCTTCCCATCCCTGCCTCCAATATACATCTTCCTTCCTTCTTCCCTTCCTCTCCTCCCTCCCTCCTTCCCTCTTCCCATCCCTCCCTCCAATATCCATCTTCCTTCTTCCCTTCCTCTCCTCCCTCTCTCTTCCTCTTCCCATTCCTCCCTCCAATATCCATCTTCCTTCCTTCTTCCCTTCCTCTCCTCCCTCTCTCTTCCTCTTCCCATTCCTCCCTCCAATATCCATCTTCCTTCCTTCTTCCCTTCCTCTCCTCCCTCTCTCTTCCTCTTCCCATTCCTCCCTCCAATATCCATCTTCCTTCCTTCTTCCCTTCCTCTCCTCCCTTCTTCCCTCTTCCCATCCCTCCCTCCAATATCCATCTTCCTTCCTTCTTCCCTCCCTCCCTCCCTGAGAAGGCATAGAAGCGGAGCAAGGTGAGCGACCGTCCCCTTTCCTTCTGCCCCCCCAGATCCAGCCAGACCTGCGGGAGTTGATGGAGACCATGAACCGCATGAGCCATTTGCCCCCCGACTTTGAGGGCCGGCAGAAAGTGAGCCAATGGTGAGCTCTTCCCTGGGGGAATGGAAGGACTTGTGCCGAGGACACCCTTGCCAGACTCTGCCCCTGTACCCTGTTGTTGGGAGGGGGGGAGGGGGCTGGAGAGGTGGGACTGAGCAAAGCCCCAGAGGTGCAGACCTTTCATTGCCCAGCTAGATAACTTCATCAGTGTTAGGAGGGAGCGGGATTCGCTCTTTGTTTATACCCAAAGGGCCTTGTTGCTCTGCCAGTGTTGGTAGGAGTGATCCTTTCTGCTTACTGTTTGATTCATTCGTTTAGTCTTTTCCCCTCCTGGGGTGGGCAAAGCAGGGGCCCCTCCGCCCCCCCCCTCCTGTGACCAGCACCTGTTTCTCGCCAGGTTGCAGACCCTGAGTGGCATGTCGGCTTCCGACGAGCTGGACGACTCTCAGGTCCGCCAAATGCTCTTCGACCTGGAGTCGGCCTACAACGCCTTCAACCGCTTCCTGCACTCGTGAGGCCGAGGGGCCCGTCCCTCAAGAGGGGGAGATGTGACGGGGGCCCTCAGGGCTCCCCCACGCGGACACGCAAAGGTTTCCAAAGGCTGGAGTTCCTTCCTTCCTTCCTCCCTCCGGAGCCAGAAGCCCCGGGCCAGCTCCACATTTTGTGACCGCACTGCAGATATTTTCACTACGGGGGTGGGGGGCAGTGGACCAGCCCCTCCTTTTGCAGCCTCGAATTGGGGAGCAGTAGCATATTTGGGGGGTGGGGTGGGGGGTGTTACGTGTATTTATTTGGGTTTTGCTTTGGCCTCAGAGAGGCAAAATTTTGTCGGTCGGAAGCAAATAAAAATCTTTCTACAATTCAGCCTGGCGTATATCGGATTTATTCACTCCCCCTCTTCCTCGAGGTTACAAAGAGTTTCACCTTTCTCCCCCCCACAAAAAGCTTAAAATGGTGGGGAGAACTGCAGCCCCCCCCCCCCCCCCAGTTCTACTTACAACCAATAAATACGGGGCATTTTGACGCAGGGGGACAGAAGGATGAGGATTGTTAGTTAAAAAAACAGCAGCATTTCCTCCACAGAAGGGATATGAGTGGCTTTTGTCTCCCACCCAAATTCACTCTGCAGGCACAAACGTTCTCAGTTCCACAAGCCGGATTGGTGGTCATTCACAGCCCGTTTTACAACTCAGGACCCTCCCTGGAGTTGGCTGAGCTATGCCACTCGTTCCCCCCCGAGGTCCATCCGTGCTGGGATGTCGTGAGTGGCGCACAGCCCATGTCCTCGGCTCCTCGGTCCTCCATCGACCGGCCTCCCATCCTCTTCAGGGACCTCTGCCTGTGCTACAGACTCTGGCAGAAAAGTTTGTGGTGATGTGTGACGGAGTGAAGCGCAGTGTTGGCCGGGCTGTGCCAGAGCTCGGCCACGTCCCGCTGGTCGGCCCTGCAGAGATGCCGGCTGCAGAGCTGCAGCTGAGCCACCAGGTAGGAGAGCTTGGTCCATGTCACGGTCTCCAGAGGTCCCCGGACAGAACAGCCTAGGGAGAATGGGATGGAGTGGGGGGAGAGAGGAAGCCTGTTAGTAGCAACTCAGCTTCTCCTGCGAGCTTCCTCTCTCGAGCCCAGGCGTCGCCCAGGGGGCTTCAATTTACCGTATTTTTCGGACTATTAAGACACATTGGTGTATAAGACGCACCAAGATTTCAAAGAGGTAAGCAAGAAAAAAAGGTTTTTGTCCTCCCAGCTCCCAGGAACACTCTGCAGGCTTCAGCTGAGCTGGGGGGGGGAAGACAAAAACGCCCCCCTTTTTGCAAAAAACAAGCCATGGGGGCGTTTTTCCCTTCCCCCAGCCCTACTGAAGCCTGCAGAGTGCTTCTGGGGGCTGGGGCAAGGCAAAAACTCCTCTGTTTTTGGAAACAATGGCCTGTTTTTCGCAAAAATGGGATGCAGGGGTGGGCCTTTGGGGGGGGGGTGTCCAAAAATTATTCGATGTATAAGACGCACCAACATTTCCAAGTTCTTTTTTGGGGGTGGAGGGAAGGAGTGTCTTATACTCCAAAAAATATGGTATTTATATTAAGTTTATATATCGCCCCTCTCGGTATCGAGGAACTCTGAGCACCGTGCAATGCCATAAATAGCACAAGGAAATAATTACAAATGGTAAAACATCGAGCACTGAACGTTAAAACACGCAGCGCCTCTGGCAGGGGGAGATGGACGGTGAAAACGCTTGATCTATACCAGTGGTTCCCAAACTTGGCAACTTTAAGACTTGTGGACTTCAGCTCCCAGAATTCTCCAGCCAGCAGAGCTGGCTGGAGAATTCTGGGAGTTGAAGTCCACAAGTCTTAAAGTTGCCAAGTTTGGGAACCACAGATCTATACAGAAAAACGTCCCAATGAACACGCCATGCAGATGGAAATGGGGAACTTTTAGTTTCAATGGCATTTCTTACTCCACTGTGAANTTGGTGGGCATGGCATGGCTTGGTGGGCATGGTAGGGGAAGGTTACTGCAAAATCTCAATTTCCTCCTGATCAGCTGAGATTCAGGAGGCAGCGAATAGATGGGGGCGGGGCCAGTCAGAGACGGTATTTACCGGTTCTCCAAACTACTCAAAATTTCCACTACTGGTTCTCCAGAACTGGTCAGAACCTGCTGAACACCCCCTCTGATATAAACCTAGTAGCCATTCTGACCTCAATTAAGCTGCATTGATAGTCTCACTACTAACTTTATTATTTACAATAAAAAGGACAAAATAATATAAAGATGAGTTGAATGAACAAAAATAGAAGTCTGTGAGCATAAGAGAGGAAAAACTAAAATGATCTTCATATTTCAAACTAAAAAATATAAATATCTCCTTAGCATTGAAAGAACGAAAAGTTTCATAATTGTTGTGGGGCTTTCTTGATAATATACAGCAAAGGAAATTATGCTCTTCGGTATGGAACTTGGAACTTGAGTCATAGGTCTTTTTCTTCCAACTCCAGTTTGAGTCATAATTTCTCAACTTTTCTCAGCATACGGGTGAAAGAAATGGAAAATACAAAAGTTGCATTGTACACAATCTGTTTACCACCCTATTGCTTATAGTTAGAACTAATTTTGTTTTTATAAATCTCTGAATTAGGTATATTTCCTGACAAATACCTCATAATATAGATCAACTTTGAGTATTAGGTTAAGATTTGGTATCTCTCCCTTTCCTCTTTTGAATTTAAATGCACAAATTATTTTTATGCATATATCTTAAATGCTCTTTTGCTCTTAAAGCAAAATGTAACGATGTTTCTAACTTTACATCTGTGAATGGTATCTTGTTGTGGCCTGTTGGCTGCCAGCCCCCCCATCAGCCAAATCACATGAGGAGGAGTCAGGGTCAATACCAGGGCAACCTGAGAGCTCCAAGGGGAAAGAGGGAATGGAGCTGTCAGAGAGACAGAGGCGGAGCCTGGGCTGTGTGTAAGCCCTCAGATAGGGAGTTCACAGGCCCCAGGTTGGGAAGTATCTGATGAGGAAGAGGAAGAACAGCTGGGTCCAGTGCCTGATGCATGGATACATAGAAGACAGAGGAGAGGAGAGCAGTGGAAATTGGTTGGCCAATCCTTGGCATGGAAGAACCACTGCTGCTAGCAAAGTCCCACCCTAGCTCTGGGGATAAAAGTCAAGGGGAGATGAATAGATGTGGTAGACAACTATTCATCTCCCTACTAGACAGACCTGTTAGCCTGTGTTGAAAGAGATACTTTTTGGCGGGGCTGCTGATGCTCCTAATAAAGGAATCATTGATTTAAATACAGAGGGTTTGTGATGGTTGCGTAGCTGGGTCAGAACACATCTCCCAGGAGATTGATTGATTGATTGATTGATTGATCCATCCATCCATCCATGTATGTCACCCATCTTTCCAAGGTGACTTTAGGCAACACTTTTAGTTACTTAAACAGTTGCATGGCAGAAATTCTACAAGTAATTTTTTCTCATCATTGCATTATATGATAGGATTCTGTTTTAGGAAATTTCTATAAACTAAACCTTACTTAAATTAGTGTGGTGGTGAACATCCATAATTATAATTTAATGTATCCAGACAGTGGATTATGATGTAGATATAAATCTCTTTCATTGATTTTAATTATGAGCCAGCTGAGGAACTGTTTTTCACTGAACGCTAGTCTTTTCAGAGGCCCACAGATTTTCTGCTTCAGTCAAATCTGAAAGGAAAAATGTATACCACTGTTTCTCCACCCCACCTCCAATTCGAAAGCAGTTAAAGAAAATACAAAGCAACAGAAAGATATATAAAATAGTACCCCTTGCTAATTGCCACATGCCTTCAAAACAGTTTCTGAATGAACACTTTTTGGGCGAAGGGGGAGGATGGAGAGAGAAGAAGAGAAATTTTCAAGAAGTAAGAAGAGAATGTTTTTACTTGGCCCTTTGGAAATTTCAAATTACTTCCCCTTCGTTAACATTCTGGTTGATCTTAATTGAGTATTATGGAAAGGGATATATCCTTAGGATATGGTCAAAAAGGCTAATATGACATAAATGACAGTGCAATATACATTAACAATGTGCAGTTTTTGACAGAGAATTGTGGCTACAAATTTGACTTTCTTTAACCACACCCTGTGGACACACCTGACTCTGGAAGTACTAAAGTTGTGGATTATGTAGAAGAGTTAAGGAAAAAGAGTAAGAATCACATTTTTATTGCAATGTCTTTTTATTGAACAAACTTGACATTGATGCAGTTTCCTTCTATATTGTAACTTTATTTCTTGTTCCTACTTCCCACCTATAAATTGTTCAATAAAAAGCCTGTTCAATAAAAAGGAACAAGTCAATGTATATAAAAAAAACTAGGAGTCTGTGCTCTACTGAAAAACTGCTGTCATTCTGAGTTTTTTTTTTTCTAAATGGTCAAAACTAAAACAATTGCAAGATCCAAAAGGGTATTCTCAACCCAATCTGTATTGATCGTTGGAATGTATACCTTCAAAAATGCTAAGTAGCACGGAGTATTTTAATTGTTTGCAAGATTAGAAAGGGAGAAAGTAAATGAATAAGTCCTGTTTGTTCAAGAAGGTTATCTTTATTTGTGATACAAGCCTAAACCCCACCCACCCCTACCCCCCCAAAAACCCAGATACCTTCAACCTGGTTTTCTGCTTATGGATTCATAAAATTCAGATTTACTTTTTTTAAAAAAAGTTGTGCTATTATTTAATTGCAATGTATGACCTCAAAGTCTAAGAACTTAATCTTGGCCATGGAGCTGAAGAGCATGATTTTATACATTGTTTCTTGAGGAACAGTATATCTGGCAGGATGCTACAGGTTAGGAAAGGCAGGATATTGCTGACCACCAACTACAGAACTGATGTGCGGTGAGGTTTATGGCTGGTGAGGCACTGACACAGGGGTTTCAAATTTTTTTAGACTTGTGGACTTCAGCTCCCAGAATTCCACAGCCAAGCATGCTCAGTTCTGATTTAAAATGACAGCATTTGTTTTTCTCCTTTGCAAAAAAGTTTCCTTCATTCTTTTTCTTCTCCCTCCCCTCCTTTTTCCCTCTCTCCCTCCCTCCCCCCTCTCTCAAACAGACACACACACACCCAGAGAAGTTGGATTGGACTATCTCCTTCCCTCTCTCATTCACTCTCTCTCAAACAAACACAAACAAAGAAGTTGGATTGGAGCCAATCTGAGCCTTTGATTGCAGGCGAAGCCACGTTGCCTTTTCAAACTTGTAATCAGTGAAACTGGACTTATATAGTTTTATCCAGGAGTGTGTATGTCTGTGTGTTTGTGTGTGTGTGTGTGTGTGTGTGTGTGTGTGTGTTTGAAAA